TCCTGAAAAGCAGAACCCCAGGGCCCTGCAAACTCTCTCTACCTGCAGCCTTGCTGTGTGACTCAGGTGTGCTGGGTAATTTCCAGGACTTGTCAGCCACAAACCTGTGTCTTTTCAAAGTGTCCTGACCATGTTGCCCAGGGAGGCTAGGGGTCACAACAAGAGCTAAAGGGCTGGGGCAGCCACAGCATTGGTCATCAGGGGCTGAGCCCTGCACTCAGCTCTGACTCCCCTGGTGCCTGTGAGACAGCTCATGCTTGTCTCACCTCCTACAGCGTGTCGGCTCCTCTCTTTCAACACTGTTTGTGAGATTCACCCACCCATGATTGTGCAAATGAGGTTTACACATTTGCTCTCTTTTATTCTGTTGCATGCATATGTCACTAGTGATCTACTGCATTGTTGATGGGCACTTGAGTGTTTTCCAGTGTGAGGTCACCGTGGATAAAGCTGTTGGGACAGAACATTCCTTTCACATCCTTTTCTGTTTCCTCAGAATTCTGGGATATTGCTTCCGTTGGTACACAGGTCACAAGTTGGCTTTCTGAGTTGCCTTATTGGCTACTAATGCCTTCCATGATTGTTTTAAATTCAGAAATTATGTTTCTTGTACCTAATAAATATTATCCTCCTTTGATAATATTTTCTCTATACATTTTTTGTCCTAGTTAATAATAGATATGACAGCTTCTTAAAACTTGTTCTGGAAACCTTAGTGATATTTCAACCTTTTGGATTCATTTCCTGCAACAGGTCTGTTACAGCGTGCTCATGTTATGGGGCCAGGAGGAAGTTTCCTGTGCAGCTGAAGACGTCTTTTCAGTATCAGGGAAAAGCAAGCGGTTAAAATACATATAATAGGCTATGCAGAGCTGAAGTGCATGTGTAGCTGTTTTACAGTGGAAATTTAAAATCCAGGAAGGTTATAGCGTTTCTTTTGTAGATTTTTTTAGTGACAAGAGGGACTCTGGACCCCTTCTACTTGTGTCCAAGAAGTATAACGCTGTCTGTCTCTTGCTGTCTGTCTCTTACTGTCTTCTGCTTAATCTCCTTCTCTCATTGGACAGAGTGCCTCGCCCCAGCCTAGCACCTGTGGAGTGTGACCTGCACATGGGGAGCAGGGAGCTTTGGGGCTGTGTCCCCACTGCCCAGAAGTCCCTGACCTAGCAGCTGGCTCCGGAAACCACTGATCTGTAAGTCTGTGAAGATGACTGGAAGAGTTAATGCAAAGTGATTTGGATCCATCACGCTCCCAACGTTATGGTTTGTTCCCTTGTTTGTTAACACTTGTTAGAGAACATTGGTGGCTGTGACGGCTTAGAGTGCCCATCAGACCACACTTCCAAGTTCAAATCCTACTCAGGGGCCGCTGTCTCTTTCCCACCTCTGTAGCTCAGTGCAGCAGTATCTGTGTGTGTCCACCTGGCACAGAACGTGTGGGAGAAGAAAGCCGAAGCTGACACAGAATTTGGGAAGAAATCCCCATAAAAATGTGTGGAGCAAGCTTTGTAGGTTATGGTCAAAGTTTTCCTACATGTTTCCAGAAGTTGCTGATCCTAAGGAAACAGAAGTCTACGCAGAGTGAGTGGGGTCTGTAAATACTTACAAGAATGTTTTAAAATATTTCCAATCCAGCATGTTTTGTTGCATGAAATGGGGGGGTTAGTCTGAATACTACAGCCTGCCATTCATTTCTAGAAACAGAATAATGGGATCAAACAAAAATGTGTAATCAAATGCAGTTCCAAAAACTAACACACCAGCCTTTTCATTTGATACACAATGGCAGACCAGAAAAGGAGAAAATACTCTGAGAGCACAAAGACTATTTGCAAAGTAATACTGACCACGTCTCTGCTGATTAGTCCTGCAAATGTTTCCCTGGAGCCTGACTCTGTCTTCTAAGTTCCAAGTGTACATTTAAAGGAGTCTAGTAGGTATTTTTATGCTCATCCTCAAGGAGGGGCCACTAGAACAAGAAACTCAGTTGTGTTCAAAACTGTCTCTGCATGTGTTCTTCCAGCTTTCCCCCAGGCCAGGACTGGGGGTGGTGGCGATCACCTTCATCCCAATGTGATACGTCACCCCGCCTGCCATAGCCCCCAAGGCCCATGTCACTATGCCTGGCCTTGTCCGTCTGGTGAAACCTACTCCACATCTGAGTTTCATCTCATAGGTGGCCTCCTCTTTGAAGCCCTTCCTGGTGTCACCAGACAGAATGGACGTGCTCTTCCTGTCCTGCTTGATGCCTCTGATCACAGGGCGTGTTGCATGACACGTGGATATAGTATTTGTCTTCTCCATATTTCCTCTCACTGGGCTTTGTTATTTCCCGCATGGAAAGAATCATTTTCAGCTCACTTCTCTTTTCCAGTGTTTGGTAAAGGAGAAAATAAAAAGTTGACTTGTAAAATCAACTCGTCCCTCTCTCCGTCTTTCTCTCTGTCTCTCTCTCTGTCTTTCTCTCTGTCTCTCTCTCTGTCTTTCTTTCCCTCACCTACGGATAGATGGATAAAGGGGAATAGGAAGTGGATGTCTGAAATAATATTCCATTCCACATGGCATGGTGATGGCTGCAGCTGCTGTGGGTGGTGGGCTGAGGTGGAAGAAGGCGGGCAGGGCCGGGTACTGAGCACAGCGAAGCCCTGCCACCTGGTGAGCAAGCAGCCCTGGGGACCCATTTATGCACAGACAGGAGGTGGCTGTGCCCCACTGTGTCTAAGCTGCTGGCACAGAGGTACACAGCTGTCTGGTTCTTCCTGGTCGATGGCACGGTGAGAGGAAAGAATGCTGTCTTATCTCGAGAGGCCTGGTAGCCTCCAGCCAGGTCTCCCTCCTCAACCCTGGTTTCACCTCTGGATAAGTAGATCAGCCTCAGCCCCTGCCCGGGGTCCTGTCGGTACCAGTACATGGCGTTATGACCTAAGTCCTGTTCACAGTGCAGGGTCGCATCTCGTCCTTCCTCTCTGGACAGGTATTTTGGGGTCTGTGTGATTCTACCACCCAATGTGCCTATGGAAGAAAGAGGAGGGTTCTGGAAACACAGCCCAGGAGAGTGCCCCTACTGCTGTTACGGGAAAAGGCTTAGTTATACCTGGAGTGTGGCACCCTCAGGAGAGGAATTTGGTCCCTGAACCCAGGACTCACCTGCTCCCAGGAGACAAAGGACCACAGAGCAGAGCACCTGGCTGCCCATAGTGGGAAGGGGGCCCTGGTAGCTACAGGCACTTGCAGGAAGACAAATGAGACAAGAGAGTTAGCTGTGGCAACCCCCTGCCTGTGTGTGCAGAATGTGCCAGAAGGCTAGAGAGACAGTGGGAAGAGACCCTGGAGGTATTCAGTTCAGGCTCCCTAACTGTGCAGATGGGAGACAGAGTGGAGGAGACCTGGACTAACTGCACCCCATCATCTCCTTTTGCCTCCCTCTGATCTGAGTGGCTGGCTCCCAGCAGAGCCTCACTGTGATTGGCCCGCTGGCTGTTCCCTTGCTAGTGAAGGCGGGGTTTGCTCAGGACAGCAGCCTGTGGACAAGTGGGTCACGTGAGAACATAGCATGCATCTTTAGTGCCATCACTGCAGGGATACCGCTCTGCTCCAATCCATCCTGCGTTCACACCAGGGCCCTGTTTCTTTCCAGAACCTTCTCCCTGGCTGGTTTTACTGTGGACATTTTTAGTCTCTTAGATGTTTCCCTGCTTTTCTTCAGGGCCTGAAGTAGATTTCCATCTGAGTATTCCATGTGTATCTATTAATGCGTTCTTCATTTCTTAGATAAGTTTCACTTTTGCTTCCATTTGTTTTCTGAGTTCTATCAAATTTTTTTTCTTTCTCTCTCTTTCTGTCATTTCTATTAATAATTTTTCAACTCTGGTTTAGGGTGGATATCTTCAACTGCTCACTTGAATATATTTGTTTGAAGTGTAGACTTACGGTTTACTTTTGACACATGATGTTTTTTATGGGGAGATAGCTGTAGATGATTTTTTTTCTCTGTCCTATAGATTTTAGATTCCTGTTGTTCATGTTCATAATATTTACAATATACACAGCTCAATCCCGTTGTCCTAGCAAAGTCCAAATGCTCCTGGAATTATTTTTGTGTGTGGGGGGGAGGGTCATATGAGTCCTCTTATTTCATAATTGTCCTCTCTTTTTCAGGACTCTAAAATTTCCCCTATTTGTTCTTTTTCTCCTTCCCTCTCCAGTAGCCCGACGAGCTTTCTTCCTATCCTTTAACTTTCTCCCCCCACCCAATGCCCCTGAAGTTGAGTATTCAGAGGACCATCTCTTTACATTTCGTGTCTGGCCCTTTAAAGGAGTGCATTTTGACCCTCTCCCTCCAGTCCTGCTCAGGTCTGACTCTATGGGAATGGGACGGGGGTGGGGCATTTCCCCTGGGGTCTCTCCAACCCTCCTCAGACCTCTCTGTTTGCAGGCAGTTTCTCTGCTTCCCCTGCTCCTGCAGGGAGAGGAGGGACGCCAGTGGTGCAACTATTTCAGAAAGTCAAGAGGCAGGAAACTCAACAGAGTAGCGTGGTTTATACCTGTCCTGGTGAGGGGGAGGCATCCTCGGTACTAGGCAACTGAAATGGTTTTGCATGTCTCTGACTTTTAATTTTCTGAAATAGTTCCATCAAAGCAAAGGAGAAGAAATACTATTTTCTAGGTAACCAACATCTGTTCAGTGATGAGATTTAAAGACTTATTCAAAGAGATAACAAAAAGTTGAGATGATATGTTTCTATTGAGCAAAATTTGGGGGCCAGACCCGTCTCCAAAATTTCCCACAGGTTTCTCCAACTCCATTTTCTCCACTTCTTGGGTGTCCTATAGCAGCTCAGCCACCAGGCCACAAACCAGGATAATTCCAGAAGGATAAGAGGATGCGCAGCCTGGCAAACAAGCACAACCTTTGAGAAACACAAGACCTTGATTTATAACTTCATATTGTCATTCTCTCTCTCCCCTCTCTCCTCTCTCCCCACACACAGGTGGCTCCCTCAGAGGAGCTGTGGTTTCCCTCCCCCCACACCCCCTCCCACAGGGCTCCCCAGGCTGGGTGCAGGGGAGCAGGGCAGAGGTTCCTGCCTGGGCCTCTCATCTCCGCCCCGCGCTGTGTCACTGGCAGCACAGAAGTAGAGGCCGCTGTGCTCAGGGCGCGCACTCGTCACCGTCAGAGATGAGAAAGTCAGACTTGGGTGGCTGATGGAAAAGCTCTCCTGGGGGAATCCTTGCTCGTGTGTGGCAGGAGAGCCCACATTGGAAGTCGCCATCAGGACGAGGCCCTGATTCGGGAACTGCTGATACCAAAACACAGTTGAGGCCTGAAAGTCCACTGCGCGACACTCGATCGTCACACGGGTCCCACTTGCACAGATGACCCTGCTTGGACTCTGAGAGACGACAGCACCGAGCCCGGAGCCTGCAGGGACAGAGTCAGAGCCATGAGGGAGGCCAGCGGGACCAGTCCCAGCTGACCACAGGCAGGCAACCAGGGGTTTGCCCCCTGCTCTCTCCCCTTTCCCTCCAGCCCTCAGACTCCTGTTTGCTGTGTGAAATCTTCTTGTCGGAGGCCCTGGGATCAGAAGCGCCCATCTGCCCTGACTGGTGACCTCTCACTTGACACCTGTCATTAGGATCAGCACAGAAATGCACCAGCCCAGGTCACCCCATCCTCATGCCAACATGCACACACACTCGCCCAAGCCACTCAGGTAATAACGCTCATACTGGGCCCCAGAAGCAGCAGAAGCAGCAGGAGCAGCAGCTGCATCTTCGGGTGTCGGCCTCCCACTGCCAGGTCTCTAGAGAGGTATGACCAGCTCTTCCTTCTTCCTTTCTTCACACCCAGGATGGATTCAAGGGTGGGGCTGGGGGGAGAGTAGCTGGTGCTGAATCCCAAGAATGATGCTCTGTTCTGCCCCCTGGTGGCGATCTGTCCCAATGAGGCAGGCCCATAGCCTTTCCTCCCTCCCAGAGAAGGATACACAGGCTGCTGAAGGGGCCTTGGTCAGGTCTGATTCTACTCCTGAGTTTATAGGTGATACACTTAGACCTAGAGCACTGAAGGGACTTAAAGGAGATTTTGAGACTCACATCAGGAAAGGACTATGTATTTGTGTAGTGAATGGTATTACAGTCACGTCTTGTGTGCCATAATCTCACAGTAACTCCTGTTAACTCAAGATAGTTTTCTTTTTTGTCTTTTGTGTTTTTTTGCAGTACAAATGCCTAGCTTATACATTGATTGCTGAGGCGTCCACTTCAAAGACAGCCGTGTCGGGTAGCAGGGCCAGGCCAGACACAGGGACCAGACAGCGAGCGAGGCCACAGGCCGCCTTCTCCTCCCCCGCGCCGCCCCCCCCAACCTCCTGTGTTCCAGAGCTCTGGGGTTGATTTCAGTAACTGACCACCTTGAGCCACTTGGTTTTTCTCTTCCTGCCTTTAAATTCCTCCTTTTATGTTTTAAATTGAAGCATAGAGTGGGCCCAGGAAACACTAGGCCCCCACTGTCTACCCCAAAAAGCAGATCCCAGGCCCCTGCAGCTCTCTTACCTGTAGCCTTGCTCTGTGACCTCAGGTGTGCCGGGGAATAAACCTGTGTCTTTTCAAAGTGTCCTGGCGGTGTTGCCCAGGGAGGCTAGGGGTCACAACAAGAGCTAAAGGGCTGGGGCAGCCACAGCATTCGTGATCGGGGGCTGAGCCCTGCACTCAGCTCTGACTCCACTGGTGCCTGTGAGACAGCTCATGCTTGTCTCACCTCCTACAGCATGTTGGCTTCTCTCGTTCAACACTGTTTGTGAGATTCACCCACCCATGATTGTGCAAATGATGTTTACACTTTTGCTCTATTGCATTCTGTTGCATGCATATGTCACTAGTGATCTACTGCATTGTTGATGGGCATTTGAGTATTTTCCAGTGTGAGGTCACCGTGAATAAAGCTGCTGGGATGGCACGTTCCTCTCACATCATTGTCTGTTTCTTCGGAATTCTGGGATATTGCTTCCGTTAGTACACAGGTCGCAAGTTGCCTTTCTGGGTTGCCCTATTTACTACTAATTACTTCCTGTATTATTTCAAATCCAGATATTATGTTTCTTGTACTTAATAAATATTATCCTTCTTTGATTACATTTTTCTATAAGTTGTTCTTCGTAGTTAATATTAGATGTGAAGGCTTCTCCAAAATTCTTCTGGAAACATTTAATGGTATCTTAGAGTTTTTGAGTTTCACTTCCTACAACTCCCTTGGTCATGGGAGTGGGGGCTATGAGGAAACTTCACAGAGAAAGAGTTCTTTCCAGAATCAGAAAAAAGCAAATGATTAAATTTACATAGAAGAGACCATACAAATCTTGAGTGCACATTACGAGTTTTACAGTGCAAATTTTAAAATCCAGTGTGGCCCACATGCTTTGCTTTGTAGATTACTGACAGGAGGCACTCTGGGTCGTTGCTACTTATGCCCCAGGGGACAAAGAAAATCAAGGATCTGTCTCTTACTGTCTTCTGCTTAATCTCTTTCTCTCATTGGACAGACAGGGGGCCCCAGCCCATCACCTGTGGAGTATGACCCGCACACGGGGAGCAGGGAGCTTTGGGGCTGTGTCCCCACTGCCCAGAAGTCCCTGACCCAGCAGCTGGCTCCGGAAACCACTGATCTGCAAGTGTCTGCGAAGATGGCCGGGACAACCAAGTGAAGCGATTTAGATCCATCCCACTCCCAAAGTCTTAGTGTGTTTGTTTGTTTGTTAATAATTGTTAGAGAACGTTGGGGGCTGTGATGGTTTGGAGGGCCTATCAGAGCACACTTCCAAGTTCAAATCCTACTCAGGGGCCGCTGTCTCTTGCCCACCTCTGCAGCTCAGTGCAGCAGTATCTGTGTGGGTCCACCTGGCACAGAATGTGGGAGAAGAACGCTGAAGCTGACGTAAATTCAGGAAGAAATCCCAATAAAATGCATGGAACAAGGTTTGTATATTATGGTCAGGGACTCCTTACATGTTTCCAGAAATTGCTGATCCCGAGGAAACACAAGGCCACACAGAGCAGATGGGGGTCAGTAAACACTTCCATGAACACTTTAAAATACATCCAATCCAGCGTGCTCAGTTGTATGTAATGGGAGGGTTAGTCTGAATACTACAGTCTGCCGTTCATCTCTAGAAACAGAATTATGTGATCAAACAAAAATAGGTAAACAAATGCAGTTCCAACAAGCAACACCACCTGCCTTTTCATTTGATATACATGTGGCAGAAGAGCAAAGAAGAAATACATGGAGAACATGAAGACTATTTGCAAAGTAATACTGACCACCCCTCTGCTGATTAGTCCTGCAAATATTTCCCTAGAGCTTGACCTTGTCTTCTAAGGGCCAAGTGTACATTTATAGGAGTCTTGTAGGTATTTCTGGGCTCATACCCAAGGGGGAGCCACTAGAACCAGAAACTTAGTTGTGTTCAATAACTTCACTTCTAATATTTTTTTAAGTTTCCCCCAGGCCATGCCTGGGGTGGTGGCGATCATCTTCATCCCAATGTGATACATCACCCGCTCCCGCCATAGCTCCCAAGGCCCATGTCACTCAGCCTGGCCTTGTCCGTCTGGTGAAACCTACTCATCATTTGGGTTTCGTCTTACAGGTGCCTCCTCTTTAAAGCCCTTTCTGGTGTCACCAGACAGAATGGACGTGCTACTTCCCGTGCTTGGCTGACACCTCTGATTGAAGCATGCATTCATTACATGAGATTTGGTTATAGTATGTGTCTTGTCCACACTTCTCAGTCCTCTAGGCTTTTGTTATTGTCCTGAAGGAAGGAACCATATTCTGCTCTTTTGTTTTCCAGTGTTTGGTAGAGAAAGGAGTGGGTTTGTAAAGGCAATCTTTCTTTCTCTCACACTCACACACACACACACACACACACACACACAGATATGGATAGATAAAGAGATAGATAGGCAGTAAATGGCTGAGGTAACGTCCCATTCCACATAGCAAGGTGACAGCAATAGCTGCTGTGGGTGGTGGGCTGAGGTGGAAGAAGGCGGGCAGGGCCGGGTACTGAGCACAGCGAAGCCCTGCCACCTGGTGAGCAAGCAGCCTTGGGGGCCCATTTATGCACAGACAGGAGGTGGCTGTGCCCCACTGTGTCTAAGCTGCTGGCACAGAGGTACACAGCTGTCTGGTTCTTCCTTGTCGATGGCATGGTGAGAGGGAAGAATGCCGTCTTATCTCGAGAGGCCTGGTAGCCTTCAGCCAGGTCTCCCTTCTCAACAATTTTTTCTGCTCGGGAGAAGTAGATCAGCCTCAGCCCCTGCCCGGGGTCCTGTCGGTACCAGTACATGTAGTCATGTCCAAAGTCCTGTTCACAGTGCAGGGTCGCATCTCGTCCTTCCTCTCTGGACAGGTATTTTGGGGTCTGAGTGATTCCGCCACCCACTGTGCCTGTGGAAGGAAGAGGAAGGTTCTGGAAACATGGCCCAAGTGGGTGCCTCTACTGTTCTTATGGGAAAACTCTTAGCTAGATCTCGAGCTTGTCATCCTCAGGACAGGAATTTGCTCCCCGAACCCAGGACTCACCTGCTCCCAGGAGACAAAGGACCACGCAGCACAGCACCTGGCTGCCCATAGTGGGAAGGGGCCCCTGGTAGCTACAGGCACTTGCAGGAAGACAAATGAGGAAACACACTCAGCTCTGGGGACCCCCTGCCTGTGTGTGCAGAATGTGCAGAAGGCTAGGGAGACAGTGGGAAGAGACCCTGGAGGTATTCAAGTCGGGCTCCCTAACTTTGCAGATGGGGAGACAGAGTGGAGGAGACCTGGACTCCCTGTACCCCATCCTCTCGTGCCTCCCTCTGGCCTGAGTGGAGGCTCCCAGCAGAGCCTCACTGTGATTGGCCCGCTGGCTGTTCCCTTCCTAGTGAAGGTGGGGTTTGCTCATGACAGCAGCCTGTGGACAAGTGGGTCACGTGAGAACGTAGCATGCATCTTTAGTCCCATCAGTGCATGGATACTGCTCTGCTCAAATCCATCCTGGGTTCACGCCAGGCCCCTGTTTCATTCGAGAACCTTCTCCCTGGCTTGTTTTACTGTTGCCATTTTTAGTCTCTTAGATGTTTGCCTTCTTTTCTTCAGGGCCTGAAGTAGATTTCCATCTGAGTGTTCCATGCGTATCTACTAATGCATTCTTCATTTCTCAGATAAGTTTGTCTTTTCCTTTCATTTCTTTCCTGACTTCAATTAAAAATTTTTTTTGTCTCTATTTTGCTTTTTCTGTTTGTAAATTTGATCTTCTGGTTTGTTTTCTTCAACTGCTTGCTTGAATATATGTGTTTGGATGGTAGGCTTAAATTTTTCTCTTGACACATGATTGTTTTGTGGGGGAGACAGTGGAAGGTGTTTTTTCTCTGTATCTGATGGATTTTATTGTTCATTTTTATGACTTTAATAATATATACAGTTTAATCCCATTGTTCTAGCAAAGTCCAAGCACTTCAGTAAGTTTTGCTGCTACGGGGTGGAGGGTGGTGTGAGTCCTGTAATTTCATAATTGTCATCTGTTTTCCAGGACTCTAAAATTTCCCCTATTTCTTCTTTTTTCCCTTGACTACCCAGGGTCAGAGGACTCTTCTTCTTTCCATTTCGACTTTTTTTCCTCCCTCAAAACTCAGTATTCTGAAGTCCTTTTCTTTAGGTCTGGTGCCTGGCCCTTTAAATGGAGTGCACTTTGACCCTCTCCCCATCCAGTCTGGCTCAGGTCAGACTCCAAGGAGACAGGAATGGGGGCTCTTCTCCTGGGGTCTCTCCAACCCTCCTCAGCCCTCTCTGTCCCCTAGCAGTTTCTCCACTTCCCCCTGCTCCTGCAGGGCAGGGAGGGGAGGGACCCCAGTGTGTGCAACTATTTCAGAAAATGAAGAGGCAGGAAACCCGGCAGAGCAGCGTGGTTTATGCCCGTCCCGGTAAGGGTGGGCATCCTCAGTACTAGGAACTTGAAATGCCTTTGCATGCATGAGCCTTTCGATTTTCCAAAATTGTTTCATGGAATAGTGGAGAAGAAACTGTTCTCTAGGTTCCCACCATCTGTTCAGTGATGAGATTTAAAGAATTATTCGAAGCGGTAACAAAAAGTGGAGATGATATGTTTCTCATGAGCAAAATTTGAGGGCCGGCCAAGTCTCCTGTATCTCAGACAGGTATATCCAACTCCATATTCTGCATCTCTGGGGTGTCGTATAGCAGCTCAAGTACAAGGCCACAAAGCCAGGATCGTTCCAGAAGGGTAAGAGGCTGTACAGCCTGGTGCACAAAGCTCAACCTTTGAGGTACACAGACCCTGGTCGATAGGTTTGTATTCTCTCTCCCTCTCTCTCCCCCTCTCTCTCCCTCTCTCCTCTCTCTCTCTTTCCCTGTCTCCCTCTCTCTCCCTGTCTCTCTCTGTCTCTCCCTCTCTCCTCTCTCTCTCTCTCTCTCACTTTTCCAGCTCCCCACTCTCCCGAGTGTGAGAAAGAAACATAAACTTCTGGAACCAGATTTTTCTCCTATGGAAAATGAAGAAGCATTTCCTTTGCTTGATTATCTTGCCTTTTCAATAAAATTCTGTATTTAAAGCGTGCACGGAGAGGACTTGAAATAGACTATGAAGTAAAGAAAGGAGAAGTGTGAGTCAATACATATTTTGCTTCAGAAATTATGTCACCTTTTGCACGGGGCAGAGTCCGAGTGGGGGAGCGCGGGCTGGGAGGCTCCTCCCCCCGCTGTGGCTGGGTGGGGGCGGGGCCCGGAGGAGGTTTGTGCTCTGGGAGGATGTGACTCTGAGCTGGTGTGGAACGTGGAGCTGGCACAGAAATACACGGCGGAGTCACCGGGCTCTGCCGGCAGGACGTTGAAGGCGCTGGGCCCCTCTTTGGGAAATGTGGCAGAAAAGCGTTTTGATGGCAATCCTGACTCGTCCATGATTTGTTGTCTCCGCAGGGAAATCATGAACGTCAGCCCTTCCTCCGGGAGCTGCCGATACCAGAAAACGTAAGTGTGGCCTTTCATGGGGCTGCACGTCAGGGTCGCCTCCTGTCCTCGCTCCACGACCAGGTGTCTGGGGTGCTGGGCGACGCTGGCATTCGCGGGACCTCAGGGGAGAAGAGATGGCATGAGACTGAGTCCTAAGGGCAGAGGAAGTTCGTAGCTTACAATGAGGCAACCCAAGGTGAGCGCAAATAGCTCTGAAGTTTCCTGCGTCCCTTTAAAAATTCACCTGAGTTTTGCTTTTTGGCCCATATTGCAGTTTTGTTTTATAGAAATGTCAGTCCCTTTCAGAAGGTCTTGGGCCACGCGGAGGTCCAGAGCATGTTTGAGACACAGCTAAGGAGCCGCAGACAACGCTGCGTGATGCCGATCGTCAGCCCCGAACTCACCTGCCCCCAGGAGCCAGACGACCACCCAGCAGCGGAGCGTGGAGCCCATGGCAGAGGTGGGCACAAGGAGGGCCCGCGGGCAGCGCAAGGAAGCTCGGCCTGCAGCAGCTCAGGGAGCTCGGCCTCACAGCTGCCTCCCGGGAGGTGGGTCCTCCTGTGACGTCACCATCTCCAGTGGATCCCACGGTCTCTACAAGTGATCTTGTACATCAGTGGAATGAGACACCTTTTTTTTCCCTTAGAACAATACAAACAGCCTGGTTTAGTGTGCGTTAGTATAGTGTCGTGCAGGGAAAGCTGAGGGAGATGAGCACGTTCGTGATTGGTCCTTAGTTGATGAACGATTCATTTTTCACCCCATCCCTCTCCGTGTTTTATTTTTTGTTGCATCTATTGGGGTGACATTGGTTAATATAATTATGTAGGTTTCAGGTGTACCATTTGTATTAAGTCATCTGTATGTTGTACTGTGTGTTCACCACCCCAAGTCCAGTCTCCTTCCATCACCGTTTATTCCTGCCTTTATCTTCTTCTACCCTCTCCATGCACATTTTCTTATTATTTGCTTGTTTGTTTCCCTTGTGTTGGGACACGCTATCTTTCCATTTGGTGCTGCTGAGCAGAGAGAGTGACCAGGTGGGATCTGTAGGTTCACAGGGAGGCAGAGATCGGGTGGCTGGGGAAAAGAGGAATAATTAGAGGCAGGAAATGATCTGACTCAGTTTCCTTCTTTCCTCCCTCATCTCAGCTAAGCGATCACTTCAAGCTGAAACAATCCTATGGTTTTGTGGTTCATAATTTGTTTTGTTTATCTCTTGTTATTCTATTTGTGTTTTTAATATACGTACCTATTTCAAAGAACAAACATTGGAAAAACGACAAACTCTCCCTCTCACCTCATGTCCTTGGACTCTGCGCGTCTCTCTGAATTATTCTCTTTAATCACGGACGGGCTACTGATGCTTGAGGGGTCTTTCTTCCTTCCATTCTTCTGTTCTCCTTCCCTGCCCCGTGGCAGTGAGTAGAAATTACGGGAAAGCCCGCTTGTTGCTGGAAGAGTGAAAAGAAGAGTCAAAGAAGAACGAGATACGATCCCACCCTGGTAGAGTTTACAGGGCGCCTCAAGGCGATGCAGCCTGTGCCTCCAGAACCCCCCAGGCTTTGAGTGATCAATACGATCACGTTCATCTCTAGTGCCCAAATCATGGCTCACGGCTCCGTCTTATCAATAGCAGGATCCTAAGGCCTCCCTCAAAGGCTCTCATTATTTGGGGGAGAATTCAGTAAGTAGGCTTCTGCAAATGTATAATTCAATCAAAATGCAGCTGCTCAGAGTCAGCACAGTTATTTCTTCTGGAAATACTCTGAATTGCCCACAAATGCTTTGGATGGAAATGCCGTCACTGAGCACCATGCCTAGCCCACAGGGATGTTTTCTGAATGCTGTTAGAGCCACCGGCCCTCAGGCTGCTAGGGCAGGGTTGGAGTTTGCACAACCTCGGGGAGAAGAATTGTCTCATCATCTCTGAGCTGACCTGGTTACTTAGGGCCCAAAAAACTATGCAACTTGTGAACAGTTCCATCAGCTGGATGTTACCAGGCTTCTGTCTGCAGGCTCAAACCCAATCCAAGGGGTTAGGACAGATGCCTTAACCATCCAATTTTACTCTTTCCTGTCCACTACTGCGTGTTCCAGAGCAAACCTCCCTCTCACTGTGATGAGTACCTAACAGATTCAAGCAGCAAGCGTGTGTTGGAATCTTCAATGATCAGACAGAGTATTGTCCAAAATGGGGCTCTTTAATATGTAAAAGAGGATATAAATTAATAATTAATATTATTAATATTAATAATTATTCCAGGACCACAGGCCTGGACCAGGACAGCCATGGTAATCAGAGCCTTGGATACATGGATGACTTTTCTTTCTTTCTTTCTTTCTTTCTCTCTTTCCTTATTTCTTTCTCTCTCTCTTTCTTTCTTTCTTCTTTTTTAAAATTGATTTTTAGAGCGATAAACATTGATTTGTTGTTCCACTTATTTAGGCATTTATTGGTTGACTCTTGTATGTGCCCCGACTGGAGAGCGAATCCGCAACCTTGTCCTGTAAGGACGGAGCTCTCACCAACTGAGCACCTTGCCAGGGCGGGTGGACTTTCTGACACGTTCCTTTACCGCCATCTGGCGTCATTGGGGAGATTGCAGGAAATAAAAATGTAACATTCTCTTTGACATGACCACATTCCAAGTCAATGCCAACGTTGAAACCTACGGGAATGACCCCTCATGTCCCTTCCAACCAGATGGTCTCTGGATCTGTGTTGTCCCCATGTCCAGTGACACTCAGCGATTGCCGGATGGCTGCAGCGTGTCTCCCACAGCAGTCCCTGGTGGTCACACACGTGGGAAAACATGAGGATCCACACCGAATCAAAGAATCACAGTCATGTGGGACCTTGGAGCCCAAACAGTGCAGGTCTCTTATTTTAAACAGGGGAACGCCAAGTCCCAGAAGGGTGAGGGCACTTGCCAACGTCCTGCAGCTAAAAATAAATACATGACTTAATTTAATTAAACTTTTAAAAGTCCCGAGTTAATTAGGAAGCAGTTTTCCTGACTTCAGTCCCAGTGTCCCTCTGGCTCTGGAGCCTGCAAGAGAGAGAAAGGAGAAGCTGGGTGTTCGAAATTACAGCGTTGAAGTCCATGCTTCCGGGGCCGCTGGGCGGGGACTTGAGGTTTGAATTCCCCGGGGTGGCCCACGAGCGCGGATTCCTCATCGGCGTCCCTCCTCCCTTCCCCTGGAGGGGTCGTGGCGGCTGCACCCTCACAGATGTTCCCACGCAATCACGGCCTCGGGGAGGCTCAGCGGTGGTGCCAGGGCCGCCTGCACCTGCAGCCGTCACACTCGGTTCTTCCACCGAGAGCTCACGGCCTCTGCAGGGCACGTTGGTGGGCAAGCAGTCTGCGGGGGAGATGGGTTTGAGATAAAATCAGTCGGGGCTTCTTAGTGTGTTCGTACTATCAACCTCAGATACCTGGTGTTGCTGGGGGGCTGTATTTAGAAACTTGGGATCCACAGACCGCCTGATTCCGCTTTGCTGTGGAGGGGTTTCAGCAGCCCAGGGGCATGCCCTCTCAATCACTGAAGGGGCAATCTGTGGTTCTGCTCTCTCCTGGGGGCAGCTGGAGACCCCACAATCACCCTGCTCCTTCTGGGGCAGAGAGGTGAGGAAGGGGCCTTTTCAAGTGTCTTCGTGGACTTGCGGGGAGAGGAAGAAGCTGGCGCCTGAGTTGCACCCTGGAGGGAACTGACCCGGCCTCACCCTGCCGGTACCACCGAGGCGCAGAGACACGGAGCAGGGTCCGCCAGCTCTGTGGGCTGGGTCTTCAGGGTGAAGTAGGTTCCGTTGGGTCTTGTCGGGCATTCCCAGCTTAGCCTCAGGGTTTCAGTATTGGGAGGAAATCAGGAATTCCATTTCCTGCCTGAGATTTTGTCGATGGCAGTAAACAAATACGTGCCCAGAGACTGGATCACATCTCAGAATCACCCCCGGCCCCACGTGTGTGACCCTGGGCCAGGGACTCCGGCTGCCTCCCCGGCCTGTGTGTCCCGTGGGAGAAGAGAGAGCCATAGAGAGTGAAGGGCAGCCCGAGGAAAGCGGCTTCTACCCAAGCTCCCCTGCACTCCCGAGCTCACCTGCCTCCAGGAGACAGAGCGTGGGTCAGGCGGAGGAGCCTGGTGCCCCGGGCACGGTCAGCAGCCGGATGACGCTTTCCCAGCAATGGTTTCTCATGCGCCACAGCCAAGAGTTCCCTGGGCCCCACAAGGTAGGATCTGGCTGGGACATCCCACAGCCCCGGGGACACCTTCTGCGGGAGAGGGAGAATCCGTGCTCCAAATGTTTGGCTGCACGTTTATTTTGTTACACGGATATGTCAGCAGGCTCCAACCCACCTGAGGGTTCTTAGGGAAGCCGAAGTTTAGGGACAACATAAGAGGAAGTGGAAAAGAGAAAAAGAGTAAGAAGAAACAGAAAGAGCAAGAAAATGGTTGAGGACTACACTAGAGTTGCAATTTTATCAACCTCAAGAAGTTCTCTTGGCTGAGTTCTCAAATTTCAGCATGAACAAAAATCACCAGGGAGTTGGCAAAATTATATTTATTCCTATTGCCCACCTCCAGAAATGCAGACTCTGACATCTGACCCAGTCCTAGAATATACCTGTTGAACCTACACTTTAGGTGACACTGAGGCTTGTTGTCTCAGACCAATTAAATTTTTTTGAATAGAGATTTTAATAGGCTGCACTAACAAAAAGACTGCTTAATGCATTAAACTGGAATGCTAAAATTTAAGTAGGACACGGAACAAGAGAAATTTTTCTGAGAGAGGAATATTTAATAGACTGATTTAAGTTCTAGAAATTGCATTAGAAAAAAAATAGGTGGGAAACAGGAAACCTAATTGAAAACAATTTGACTAAAGCTGAAAGAAGAGAAACTTCCAGAACCTAAGCTTTAGTCAATATTGTCAAATGCTTCAAAGAGAATAAGCAGGCAGAAAAACAAAAATAAACCTTTGGTCTAGAAAGAGTATAGTTTTAATCTTTAGGAGGATAGTCTCAGGAGAATGCAAATGGTCCCGGAAAAAGCTGAAGAGAGCATTCGAAGGACTCGCCCCTCTGTGGGAAAGCCAAGGCATGGGCCCGCGGGGTCCGACTGGGTTCGGAGAGGAATGGCCATGGCCACGGGGAAGCACTCACTCCTGAGCCCTGGGAAAGGGGCTTAGAAACGGGCCATGACACTGGATAGACCAGAAAAATGGGGGCTTCTGCTTCCAGGGGTCACAATGAAAAGAAGTACATTCGGACTTTGAGGAGTTAAGACAACTGGCATTAGCTTATATTGAAGTAAGAGCTGATGCGACTAGACAGAGTATATACACTTCGCTAAAGCTGAGTGGTGGGTGCTGTAGCAATGACCAGTTTGTAAGCGGAATGATCACCAAATTTTAACAGAGGTGCTCGAACCCGGTGTCTGCTCGATGTGATGGAGTGACCTCGCTAGGTGGGGCCGATGCCAGGACGCCTCCTTTCGTGTACATTCGATGATGAACCTGTTGTTCCCCATCACAGTTTGGACCACATGCCTGAGGGTGTTTTCGTGTCTGCATCCACTTTCCGTTGCACAGTAGGTGTTTTGTCACTGCGAACACATTAGTCTGTTTTTTTCCCTCAGCTCTAGGGATACCAGTTAGTGACATTGTAGGTAGGGTCTAAATTGACATGCTTTTTGCACTACCTGGATTTAATTTCTCAATAAAGAAATTCACCAGAGTTCCCACTTGGTCTGACATTCTAAAAACTAAGGATTGAATTGTCTCTCGAATTCCTTCTCTTTTCCTAGGTTCTCTGTGTCCTGCAAATGTAGTAATACTCCTTCGTTCCTCACTTGTGAGGGACACCTGTTGGGCGTCCTTGATTCATAAGGGTCAAAGTGACGAGCCCCAAGCTGCCACATTGTTTAAAATAATCCCACCCTCTTGGCTAATGTTGAATTTTCCAAGAGCATGTTCTTGAGTAAAACAGATTCATTTTTTTCTCCTGTTTCCTGGATTTGTAATCTAGCGAGAGGGAAGGTCAAGTTGGCCCTTCTCAATGTGGCTGAAGTGCTGGCATCTGAATCTATAAACTCGTACCCACTGTGAGATCTAAGAAATGGGGAAGGAAATTAATAACAAGGAAGAATATGGGCCCAACAAGACGGAAAAGGAAATGAGTTGTCAAATCAGCCGTGTGATGATTCCAGGACTCCATTCTACTTTGTTCTGGAGAAATCCCTGTGTCCTTGCTTTGGTGCCGTGGGCTATTCATTTAGCCTGGCAACAAATTCCACTTTGGTGTAAGCTGGCTCTATCTAGGTAGCTTTCATCGCCTTTTGACCTAGTGAGCCACCTGCTTCCTGAGCCGGGCCCAGGGTGAGTTTGTGCAGCAGGCAGAGCTGATATTTAGCACTGTGCGTTTAACGCTGGCGCAGAGATATGTGGCTGAATCCTGCAGCTCCACACCCTGGATCTCCAGTCTACAGGGTGAGTTTGGGGGACACTCAGCTAAAAATCTGTTCTTGGGCATTTCTGTTTCAAAAACATTTTTGTCCTGGAAGGAAACCAAGAACTTGAACTCTTTTGCCAAAATCTGTTGGTACCAGTAAACATAACGATCACCCTGTGGGTGGACACAAGACATTGTCACATTCTGTCCTTTCCCTGTGATCAGGTGCCCTGGGGTCTGGGTGACTTCTGCTGCATCAAGGGAGCCTGGGGAGAGAGCAGACAGAAGTTGGAGGCCTAGCCCAGGGGGGACACTGGTGGCAGGAAAGGGGGAGCTGACAACTCGGAGCAGGGACTTACCTGCACCCAGGAGACAGAGGACCATGGAGCAGATGACTGCGGCGCCCATGGCAGACGTAGGAAAACACAGAGTCAGGTGGCGTGCCCTGAGGCTTCCTCGGCTCCCACCTGCAGCTGCCCTGTGATGTGATCACTTCGTAGAACCCAGCAGCCTTTGCATGAAGACACCTTTGCTTTTGTCACAGTGGAACCACTGCTTTAGCTGTCATCTCCAGCTTCTTAATGGATTTTTTAAAATCTATATATCCTTATGAATTATTCTCCTAATGATTAACCTTACAGACATACTAACACAAAAACATGTATTTGTTTCTCTGCTTGCTTGATCTTTTTGAAGCATTTGACAATATTGATTATTCTAAAGTTCTGGAAATTTCTCTTCCCTCAGCTTCATTCACATTATTTTTAATTAATGCATGCCTTTTTTTTCATGTACTTTCCAGCACCTAATTCTATCCATTAAATTTAGGATCCTCCTCTGATCAAGTGAAAAAAAAAAAAAAAGAACATGAAACAACTATACTCAGTTGTTGGAAAAGTCGACACAGGACTGTGATTCTTCAAAAGCAAGAAAAAAAAAGGGGCCATGTCCACACACAGTGGGGGTGGGGGACAGAACATGAAACATTTTCTGAGTTGAGTAGACAGAGGTTAAAGGTTAGAGGGAACAAAGGCAGCTAGGGTTCATGAGGAAGACTACCAGAGAGGAGAAAGCTACACAAAGAAATCTGCAAATCTTCATTAGGACCAGAACTTTTGTCTCAACAGTATCTGTATAGGATTAAACTAAAAAAAAAAGCAATTGAGAGGGCTCTGGTTGAATGGCTCAGTTGGTCGGAGTATTGACCCCTACACTGAAAGGTGGTAGGTTTGTCCAATCCTCTGTTGGGGTGCACATGGGAGGTAACTGGTTAGTGGGTTAATGTCTCTCTCTCTCTCCTTCCTTTCTCTCTAAGATAAATAGACTTATCCTTGGGCGAGGATTAAACAAACGGACATTAGAGAGGAACCACAGAGAAGATTCACCAGCATCCCCAGAATGGCCGAGCTTTAGCAGCGGGACAGGATTAGGCTAGAGCAGGAGAAGGCAAATTACAGCCCAGAGGCTGGCCATCTGAGATGTAAATAGTTTTTAGGGTGAGAAGCATTTCCACAATGCCAGCATGAAGAGCTTGTCAAAGCTTTCTAGAAAAAAAAATAACTGCTGAAAGTTTAGAAACAACCATTGAAAGCCTTTGAAAATTAACTCAAGAGGCTCTGGCTGGTGTGGCTCAGTGGACTGAGCTCTGGCCTGAGAACCAAAAGGTCACCAGTTTGATTCCCAGTCAGGGCACATGCCTGGGTTATGGGCCAGGTCTCCAGTTGGGGGAATGTGAGAGGCAACTGACCAATGTGTTTCTCACTCATTGATGTTTCTCTCCCTCTCTCCCTCCCTTCCCCTCTCTCTAAAAGTAAATAAATAAAATCTTTTAAAAAAGAAAATTATCTCAAGAGCATACAGCAAGGACCCATCCATTCCCCAGGGAGGGGCAAGTTGCCAGCTCTTCTCATTGCCACCAGTTGCATGGTGTGGAAACTCTGTTCTGGCAAATGCAGCCCAGGCCTCTGGTTCCTTCCTCCTTGGAGCACCCACGTGTAGGGTGGCCCCTCTGTTCCAGAAACAACAGGCCAAGAAGAGTTGGTCCCAATCCTTCCCATTCTGGCTTCCTTGTAGGGTGGAGATTCCATGGTGGGAGGGGCAATCAAGAAGAGCAAGGCATACCACCCCATCCAGGGGCCCACCCAGAGAGCAGGGGCCCCCTCCAAGGGAAGTGGGCCACCGTCCCTGCCCCCTGCTGTGGAGCCGTGGTGCAGAGTTCTGTCCACGGGATGGGGCAGGCCACAGGCATAGCTCAACCTTGACTTAGGGACCCACCAGGCCCTGCTGACCTTTTCTTCTGACTTTTCTTATGAATGAACTTCTTTGCTGCCTTCCCTCCTTTCTTCTTTCCCTCCACACAGGGGTCACGGTTCTCCCGGGCCCCTCAGTCCTTCCCGTTTTCTCTCACAGGCATTTTCGAACCCAGGCTCGGCCCCCGCTTCTTGGAGGACCTGAACCAATGCCCGTGGAGCAAACCCTAGTAATTTTAATGTATCTTCTAAAGCCCCACATCGAGCTTTGGCTAGGAGTCTTGTCTGTGCCGCTTAAATGGTTCATCGATTTACATCAGGTGAAATATTTAAGTGCGTTGGGAATAACGCACGCTCCAGGCAACGCCTGTGCCTTTGAATCTGGAATGAGTTTTTAGAGGTTCTACTTGTCCTTATTGATAAGAAACCTGGGGGATGGCCTCAGCATGCCAACGAGGGCGACTTCTTCTCCTTCGGGGGAGGATTTATGGGAGGGGTCTACCTCTTACCTGGGTCTGCTCTTACAAGGGGGTCAACCTTTTGGCGTCTCTGGGCCACACTGGAAGAAGAGGAGTTGTCTTGGGCCACACATTAAATACACACACACTAATGAAAACCAAAAAATTTAATGTTTTAAGTAAGTTTACGATTTTTGTTGGGCCTCATTCATAGCCATCCTCGGGCACATGCGGCCCGTGGGCCATGGGTTGGATGCCCCTGCTTAATATACTGCTAAGTCTCCAACTTAAATTAAAAAACAAAACAAAACAGAAGTTTCTATTTGTCTACTGCAGAGAACAGAGCAGGGGATTAAAGTGATTCTGGGAAAACACCACCAACTGAATGCTGGGCGAGTGTAACCACGTCTCCACGCTTGGCGTAACCGTCCAGGGTTTTGTAGGTCTACGCCAACCCCCATCTGCACAGGGGATGATGACAGGTGGGAACCCGCTTCCCACGGCAGCTGTGGGAGGCCAGCGAGGTCTGGAGAGGGTGCGTGGGCCCGGAGCAGGTTTGTGAGTGGCGGGGAGGCAGCGCTCTCCCTCTGTGCCTTTGCTGCTCGCGCAGAGGTACAGGGCAGAGTCGCCCAAGCCCGGCGCACGCACGCTCAGCGAGCAGAAGGAAGTGTTAGCCCGGCTGGGCTGGAAGTTGTCCGAGGTGTCTGTTTCTTTGTTAAGTATCTGGTCATAGTAGTAGAGCAGCAGCTTTGGGGCTTGGCTCAGCTTCTGTTGGTACCAGTACATGGTGTCGTGACTCAGGTCCTGAGAACAAGTCAAGGTCACTGGTTCCCCCGTCCTGGTAATCCGGTATCTGGGGCTCTGGGTGACCGTGGCACCCACGTGACCTGCAGAGAAAGAAGGAACATTTAGAGACAGAGTCAAGAGGGAGACGGATGTTGCTGCTGTAAAGAAAGACACCGAACTGGGGACGTGATGGCTTTAGTTAAAAATGCCCTCCTGCCCAGGACACACCCGCTCCCAGGAGACAAAGGGCCACACAGTGGAGAAGCCTGGGGCCCATGGCAGGGCCAGAGCAGGCGTGGGGCATCTGTTCGTCCCAGACGCTGGTCTCTGGGTTTGGAGGGGGGAGCTCTGAGAGCCCCTGGTCTCTGGGAGGCAGGTCTGCCTGTGATGACAGAGCTACTGTTGACGTCACCAGGGCAAGGGCCACTCCCTGTGATATTGTACGCAGCTTCCTGCGTGGTGGGAGAGGCTGGGCTGGGCTGGATCAGGCATGAAGCAGAGGAGATGTCTTCCCATTTGTCCCTCTTCCTGTGTCTCACTCATGTTCATCCAGTCCTCTCCTCACTGCTTACATCCTTTAAGGCCGGTCACACGTTCCTCAGCGCATGGCTAGCTTTTGCTCAGGTTGCACTTATAAATCTATGGCGTCCTGTCTTTAGTTTGTTATCTACGTCTTTGATGCATGCAAGTTATCTGCCCACCAGCCCCACCTGAATGTGGCAATCAAGCCCTGTCCTTTCCACAGCACACCAAGGAAATCGGTGACAACACACTGCCCCCTTGTGGCCACTAGAAAAGTGTGGGGAGCAGCCTTTCCACACTGCGGGAGGAGACCCGTGCCGTGGGTGAGGACACGGGCGGCTTAGAAATGTGCCTAGCCCCATTCTGCTCCTACGAGGCCCGTGCCCTGGGACCAGCACATGCCAGGGGACTGGCAAGCATCCCTAAAGGTAACATGGCCCCATTGTGACAACTGGAATTGACCTCTGAGATGCTCAGGGTCGGCTGACACGTCTCTGTGTGGGGCTAACCCACGTTTTCTCCATTTAAAAAGCAGATCGATGGAGAAAGGAAAACCAGCTTTTATCGGTGTTCATCAACTTGGCCATCCCACTCACAAACAGGATTTAAAAAAGTGTTTGGAAATGGATTTATGTGGGACAAACGTAACTTCAACTTACCACCACCATTGCCACCTCTGTCAGGGAGCAACCTCCAAACCAGGAGTCAATGAGTGTTTACTCCTGTTTTTATTTCCATCGGGGAGTCATGCAAATCGTGGGGAGAAGGGGAGTGGCGATGTGGCCACAATCGGAGTCCCAATCCCTTTCAGATCAGAGCAGCGCGGTGAGCAAGAATCACACCGTGCCTCCCCCGCTCTCCCCCACACCCCCAATGGGACGACACCCTCACCTCAAAAACAGAGGTGGCAGATGGAGCTCTGTGAAACGAGCCGCAGGACCCGGAGCACGGACGTGTCCCAGATACTCTGGCATTTCAAGAGTTAATGCCAGTTCTGCCTCTCTCCTCCTCCTGGCGGATGCCGCTCAGGGGAGGACTTCTGTCTAGAGCTGCCAGGGGGGGTGAGGGGCAGGCGGAGGGCCCGTTTTCGCGCAGGGAAGGCCTGAGTCTGCAGCACTGTGGTGGGGCTGCTGGCACAGAAGTAAACTCCGGAGTCCTCTGGCCGTGCAGGCTGGATCTTCAGGGTGGAAAACGTCCCTTCGGTCCTCTGAGCTGAGAACCGATCGGCGGGCATCCCTGATTTATCCCTTACGAGCTCTTTCAGGAAGCTGATCAGAAAGATTATTTCCTTCCCCGTGGCACGTTGGTACCAAAGGAGAGTCTCATGTCCAGAAATCGGGTCGCATCTCAGAGTCACGGCCTGTCCCTTCTCTATGACCCTGTGGCTGGGGAACTGAGTGACTCCAGCGGAGGCGGGTCCTGTGGGAAAAGGCGAGAACATAGAACACATAGGAAGAGTGTCCTGGGCAAAGGCCACGTGGACACATTCCCACAAGGAAGGACTCACTTGCTCCCAGGAGACAAAGGGACACCAAGCCGAGAAGTCTGCAAACCATGGCAGGATCCAGAGAGAAATAAGGACAGGACCGGTACGGAAGAGCAAAAAATGAAAGCAAATCCGAGTCCCCTTGGCCCTGTAAGAGGTGTCCCGTAATGATATCACCGTGGTCGCCAACACCTGTAGTCTCAAGAGCGCCCTCTAGGGAAGAAGAAGCGTAGCAGAAAGAGTGAAGTTTCTCTCAAGTTTGTCCCTTGAGGGACAATGAAGGGGTAATGAAGAACCACCCCTCAGGCCAACCACATTGACCTGTTTCTGCATTTAAACAGGAACCATCCTCCTACATGGTCATGAAAAAGCTGCCACAGTAAACAGTGTAATTTCCTTTCCAGGTTGATAAGTTTTCATCCTCTCGGAATAAAATGTAAGGCCTTAAAAGTGCCCCTGCAACTTAATACCTGACCAATAAATGTTTTGGTTCAGTTATGTGATTTAATTAAGGTGTACCTGGGATGCTGTTTTATGGGCCAGGCAGCTTCCTAGGACAGGGGACACGGCGTGCAGACACACCCCCATTGGATAAGTGAGGGAAAGGATTCAGATATTTACAAAGAGATCAAAAGCACCCAAAGAAAAGTGGATCTGGGTCTACCAGGTTTCTGTTCTTATACTAATCTGCATGTGTGTGTTGGAGATAATAAAGTGCGATGTTACAGGTGAGTGGAATTATGTACATGGCACATGGACACAGACAATGTGGGGACTGATTGAGGGAGGGGAGAGGGTGGGGCTGGGTGGAGGTGCGAATGGTGGGGGGAGGAGCGGGAGCAACTATAACAGAGAAAACAATAAACAAAGTGAATCTCCAAGAACGTAAAATGGTAGAGCCATGCTGGGAAATAATTGGGTAGTGTCCTTGAAAAATAAAAATATGCTTCCCATATGACCCAGCAATCTCAGGACTCTGGGGCATAAATTGACCCCAGAGGAATAAGAATTTATATCCACACAGAACTCTGTGCACAAAAGTTCGTGCATGGCCACTTAACTTGTCATCGTCAAAACTTGGAGACAACCAAAATGTCCGACCACAGGTGGGTGGCTACACAGGCTTTGGTGCATCCGTGCCGTGGAGAGCTTTTCAGCAATAAAATTTAAAAAAAAGAAGAATTACTGATAAATGTAACAAATCAGACGAATCTCAAGGGCAATGCGTGAGTGAAAAGAACCAGTCTCAAAAAAGACCACCTACTGTATGGGTGCATGTGTAAAACATTCTCAAAGTGACATCACAGAAATGGAGAACTGATCGGTGCTTCCCGGGGATCAGGGATGGCGTGTGTGTGTGTGTGTGTGTGTGTGTGTGCTTGGGCAGACTGCGGTGCCACGCCAGTTCTGTATCTTGATTGCATCTTCATACGTGAATACAAATGACTTCGAACTGCTTGCACTTGGCGACAAGGTTAGTTTCCTGGCCTCGAGATCTGAGGATAATTAGGGAAGATGTGACCATTGGTGGGGACAAGATGAAGGGTACACTGGAAGCTTTCATTCTCCTTTGTAAGTTCCTGTGAATCTACCGCTATTTTTAACTGATAAGTGAAGGAAAGGGGACTTCTGAGATTGTGAAAAGGGTGTCTTGTGACAATTAGAAAGATAATCACGGAAGAGTTAGAAGAAAGTGGAAAGGGCTGAGCAGACCCGAGGACATAACCGTAGTCCCACTTAACCACTGCAATGGCACGGGCACAGGCAGCAGGGACCACTGATGACTACCTGAGACAGTCCGCCTGGGTGATGATTGGAGTGCAGCAGCTGCACCGTTTTAAGCTGCTTCATCACTCGAAAGCCCCATGGATACATTAACCCTCTGCCTTGGACTCAAGCACTCTCTGTGAAAATTTGTGAGCAATGCCAGGAACCAGCCCCTACTGCCTTTGTTTCTAGAAGTTTCCTAATGTGATACATTCGGTGGATTGTGTCCTTGGCTTCGCTACTGAGAGGTGGGGAACTAAACCCCTGCCTGCACTCTGATAGCAGGGAGCCCCAGAAAGCCGGCTAGGGAGGCATGGGGCTAGAGGGGAAGCAGGAGGTTTCTGCACAGGGAGGGGGCGACTGTGCAGCGCTGTGGCTAAGCTGCTGGCACAGAGGTACACGGCTGAGTCCCCGGGTTCTGTGGGCTGGATCTTCAGAGCGGAGAACGACTCATTAGGCATCTGAGCTGAGAATCGCCCCTTGGGCAGCCCTTTGTCATCCACAGGAATTTGATTGCTGAAGTAAATAAGTAACTTTATGCCCTGCCCCGATGTCTGACTGTACCAATAAAGGACAGGGTGGCCTGAAATTGGCTCACAGCTCAGAGTCACTTCTTGTCCCCTTGTTGTCACCTTGTGCCTGGGTGTCTGGGTGACTCCAGCATGTGTGGAATCTGTGGAAGAGGACAGAGTTTGGGGACAGATTAAGACACATAAATGGAAACAGAACTGGGACTATTAACAAAATGCAGATTCTTAATTTCTGGGGACTCACCTACTCCCAGGAGACAAAGGGCCACCCCACAGAGGAGCCTGGTGGCCATGGCAGAGTGAGGCAGGAGGAGGCCTCACCCAGACGAGGCCCTTGTGAGCCTGAGCACAGGGGCAGGGCTTCTGGTGCCTCTGGGCTGCACAAGGTGGAGAGCGACATGGCTCTCTGTCGTTGCACAAAGAACCTCCGCCCACAGGCGAACATCAGTTCTGTGCAGCAGGTCACTGGGACGGTCTCACGGGTCCCGGGACCCAGCCCTACACCTGGGCTCTTTCTGGTGAGAAACACCGATCATGTTCGGGCCTCGACCACCCCTCCCTGCTCTGACTTCACACATCTCTTTCTTTACAGCTGAAAGTTCTCCTTCGTTTTAATTTTTAAAAGATCTCTAATGCACTGAAGAAATACTGGGGAATAATACTTTACCAAAGGACTTGGCAATGACTGAGACAAATTTATATGGAACACAGCACTAAGCATCGCCCTTCTTCAACCTCCAGTCTTGCTTTGTTGAATTACTGGGAAAAACTTGATCTGTACATCTCATAGATTTGTCCTGGCTCACATAAATTTATAGTAACACAAGGCATACCTGAAAGACATGTGCTTTTGTTTTTAGCAAAGTAGAAAGAGCTTCTATGCATCATCATGTAATTTCTAAAATTTGAGAAAATACACAAACAGTCCTATGCATCAGTAGATATCAATCTATATCTATGCATTTGCCTGATTTCTTTATTCCTGTATATGTTTTCACATGAATGGGATCATATCCTAATTTGAGCTTCATTATTAAGTTATTGTATGAGCTTTATTAATTACGGATTGGATGGTTACAAAGTTTCTTCTTTTTTAAAAAATATTTTACTTCTTTATTTTTAGAGAGAGAGGAAGGGAAGAAGGAAAACAGCACTGTGTGGTAGCCTCTCACCAGCCCTCAACCGGGGAACTGGTCATGACACAGGCAAATGCCCAGACTGAGAATCGAACCTGTGACTCTTTGGTTCACAGGCCAGCACTCAATCCACTGAGCCACACCAGCCAGGGATGGGGTTTCTGATTTTAGCAAAATGACACCAACACACCAGGTCAGTGGATATAGATTCTTTAAATGTCAGCAAAGCGTCCTGTTGATCTCTGCATTTCCTGTGCACAGCGGCGAACCAACGGAAGTCCCTTCACTGAGGATCAGAGAATCCCTGTCAGCGACCAGGCTGTGTCGTCATCACTGCTGAATGCTCTCAGTGGCTCAGAAACCCCCACTTTGCCATCCAGGGCTGCCCAGAGGGAGCTGGATTTGTCACGATTGAGAGTGTGGTCTTAAACCTTGAACCTGGTTTAGACAACGGGAGAATTAAAAACATATGACTTTAGAAGCTCTTAAGTACATGAACTGAGGGTCAGTGGCTAAAGGAATCTTAGGAGGATGGTGCTGAATTAGTGAGAAGGAAACCAATATGAAGAGGGAGGAGAATGAGATGATCGAAATGGCAATTTTGGAAGGAGCTTTTTGGTATCTCACCCCACAGACAGGAATGACTGAAGTGTGTCTGAAAAATGTTGGAGGTAAAGATTATTGAAAGTCAGGAGGTCAGGAGACTGAGACACCAAACCCCTGTGGAAAGTGTCTGTGTGATGGTGACGTCTCCAATGGTGACATCCTCACTGGTGGGGAGAGGAAGTGAATGAGGACGGATCTGACGATAGGGAAGTAGCAATAAGTTCAGCAACAAAGGGCGATGTTCTGAGGCATGTGTGTGAGGGGTGGGACTGAAGCCGGGAGAGGGGCCTGGTCTGGAAGAATCAGGGAGGACCCAGGAGGATAAAGAATGCACTGAAATTGGGCATCATGTGTTTGATTCTATGTTTTGAAATAAACACAATACACACTTTATTGCATGTCCTCCTTAAAGGGCAGAGCACCTTAATGGAGTAATTAAGACAATGATAAGTGGAATCGGGCTACATGCTACAACCCTAGAAAACGTGTGTGGGGGGCGCAGTGAATTCTCTTAGCCCCTTAGAGAAAGAGAAGAAGGGAGGGCTGAGCAGCCATTACCAGGAGCTCCTACCATTCAGATGCAGAGGCCGGTGCAGGCAGGCAGGAGCACACACAGTACGGGTAACTGAGGTCTGACTCTCAGGTGTGCAGAGTGCTGAGCCCACAGACAGTGTGTGAGGGAAACCTAAAGCTCATTTCCTACATTGTTTACTATGAGACATTTTTTCTCTTGATACCTTATCCTTTCTGTGCTTGTCATGCCCCAAACCCATGCATGTCTCTTGGTGATAGCAGAGCAGAGAAGTCTTTTACACAGGACATCTGGGGACTGATGAGAGAAGGGGAAGCAGGAGGTTTCTGCACAGGGAGGGAGCGACTGTGCAGCGCTGTGGCTAAGCTGCTGGCACAGAGGTACACGGCCGAGTCCCCGGGTTCTGTCAGCTGGATCTTCAGAGTGGAGAGTGACGCACTGGGCATGCGAGCTGAGAATCGCTTGTTGGGCATTCCTGTGTCATCCAGAGGTTTAGTATCACTGAAATATATCAAAAACTTTATGCCTTCTGCTGAGGTCTGTCTGTACCAGTAAAGGTAGTCATGGCCTGAAACTGGCTCACAACTCATAGTCACTTCTTGTCCCCTCTTTGTCACCTTGTGCCTGGGTGTCTGGGTGACACCAGCATCTGTGGGCTCTGTGGAAGAAGACAGAGTTTGGGAACAGATTAAGAGACATAAATGGAAACAGAACTGGGACTATAGAAAGCATACAGAATCTTCATGTCTGGGGACTCACCTAATCCCAGGACACAAAGGGACACCCAGCACAGGAGCCTGGTGGCCATGGCAGGTGGGGCAGGAGGAGGATTCACCCAGAAGAGCCCCTTGTGATGGTGAACCGAGGGGCAGGACTTCTCATTCCCCTGGGCTCCACAGGGTGGAGCGTGACATCACTCTCTGTCATTGCTCAAGGGACCTCCTCCCAAAGGGGAGAACAGTTCTGCACACATGTCCCTGGATGCTCGCATGTGTCCTGGGATTTGGACCTGCACCAGTGCCCTTCCTGGCGAGAAACACCAGGTGTCTTTCTGGCCTGTACGACCCCTCCCTGCCCTGACATCAAACATCTCTTTACGTCATGGCTTAGGATTCTGCTTTGTTTTAAAAAAAAAGATTCTCTATGCTCTGCAAGAATTTCCGAGGTGATATTTTATAAGTTCCCCAGCAATAAGTGAGGAAGGGTTGTATAGAACAGAAGGCTAGGTAACCCCACTCTGTCCTTCCTCCAACCGCACTTTTGACATATCGTAAGAACAAGTTGATCTATAATGTTTGATAGATTTATCCTTGCTCATATACATTTTTAGTAAAACATATGGCATATATAAAAGATCTATTCTTTTCTTTTAATCAGTGTAGAAGCAGCTTCTATACATTATCTTGTAATTTCTGAAATTTGACAAAATGTATACACATTCATATACATCAGTAGATGCACATCTAGTACTATTTGCCTGCTTTCTTTGCTCATACAGATATATTTTCACATGAATGAAATCATATCCTATATTTTGAGCTTCATTATTTAGTTATATTATGGTTATATGGCTTTTCACATATAATAAAAAAAAAAACACCAGAACACCACCAGGTCAGTAGAAATAGATCCCTTAAATGTCAGCAAAATGTTCTATTGACCTAAGCACTTCCTGTGCACAGCGGGGAACCAATGGAAGGCTCTTCGGTGAGGATCAAGAATTCCTGCCAGAGACCAGGCTGTGTGTGGTCACTGCTGAACGCTCTCGGTTGACTGAGGAACTCCTGCTTTGCCTTATGCAGGTGACAAGATGGGTTTACCGGGCTTGATACTATAGTCTCTAACCTTGAATCTGGTTTAGACAATGTGAGAATTAAGAACATGTGAGTTTAAAAACTCTTAGGTACAGGAACCGGGGGTCAGTGGCTAAAGGGATCTTAGGAGGGTGGTGCTGGACTAGTGAGAAGAAAACCAATGTGAAGAGGTAAGAGAATGAGATGATTGAATGGCAGTGTTGGAAGGAGCTCATTGGGGTCTCATCCCACAGACGGGAATGACTGAAGTGCATCTGAAAAGTGTGGGAGGTAAAAATTATTCAAAGTGAGGAGGCCAGGGAACTGAGACACCAAACCCCTGTGGAAAGGGTCTGTGTGATGATGACATCTCCAATGGTGACAGCTTTACTGGTGGGGAGAAGAAGTGAGCGGATCTGGTGGTAGGGAAGCAGCAAGAAGTTCAGCAACAAAGGGCAATGTTCTGAGGCATGTGTGTGAGGGGTGGGTGGTGAAGCCAGGAGAGGGGCCTGGTCTGGATGGACAGGGAGGTCCCAGGAGGATAAACAAGGCACTGAAATTGGACATCATGTGTTTGATTCTGTGTTGTGACATAAACAGAGTAGAAATTCTATTGCATTTCCATCTTAAGGGCAGAACACATTAATGGAGTAAATTAGCACAATGATAAGTGGAATTTGGCTATATGATACACCCTTAGAAAGTGGGGGGATATCTCTTAACAGTTTAGAGGGATTGGACAATGGAAGTCTGAGGAGCCATTACCAGGAGTACCTACCACTCAGATGGAATCTAATGTAGGAAGGGAGAAAATAACAGTGAGAATAATTAAGGCCTAATCTCTCAGTATGCTTACTTTTGAGTCCACAATGTATCACAGTCCCCTAAAACCCATTTCCTACATTGTGTCCTTCAAGGCATTTTTTCTCTTGATACCTTATCCTTTCTGTGCTTGTCATGCCCCAAAGCCAAGTATGTCTCTTGGTGAAAGCAGAAAAAGGAACTTTACCCAGAACATCTGGGGGCTGGTGAGAGAAGGGGAAGCAGGAGGTTTCTGCACAGGGAGGGGGTGACTGTGCAGCGCTGTGGCTGAGCTGCTGGCACAGAGGTACACGGCTGAGTCCCCGGGTTCTGTGGGGTCGATCGTCAGAGTAGAGAACGACTTATTAGGCATCTGAGCTGAGAATCGCTCCTTGGGCAGCCCTGTCTTGTCCATAGGGCTTTGATTGACGAAGTAAATCAGAAACTTTATGCCTTCCACCGAGGTCTGTCTGTACCAGTAAAGGGTATCATGGCCTGTAATTGGCTCACAATTCATAGTTACTTCTTGTCCCTTCTTTGTCGCCTTATGCCTGGGTGTCTGGGTGACTCCAGTATGTGTGGGCTCTGTGGATGAGGACAGAGTTTGGGAACAGGATAAGGAACAAAAATGGAATCTGAAATTGGATTATAAAAAATGCAGATTCTTCATTTCTGAGGACTCACCTACTCCCAGGAGACAAAGGGCCACCCAACAGAGGAGCCTGGTGGCCATGGCAGGAGGGGGGCAGGAGGAGGCTTCGCCCAGAGGAGGCCCTTGTGCACGTGAATAGAGGGGCAGGGCTTGTGGTTCCTCGGGGCTGCACAGGGTGGAGAGTGACATGGCTCTGTGTCACTGCTCATGGGGCCTCCCCCCAAAGACAAACATCAGTTCTGTGCAGCAGGTCACTGGGATGGTCTCACCAGTCCTGGGACCCAGCCCTGACCCTGGGCTCTTTCTGGTGAGAAACACCGATCATGTTCAGGCCTCTACCACCCCTCCCTGCTCTGACTTCACACATCTCTCTCTTTATAGCTGAGAGTTCTCCCTTGTTTTCATTTTTAAAAGATCTCCACTACACTGAAAAAATACTGGGGAATAATACTTTACCAAAGGACTTAGCAATACTGAGACAAATTTATATGGAACACAGCACTAAGTAAGCATCACCCCTTTTCCACCTCCAGTCCCACTGTGTTGAATTACTGGGAGAAATGAACTGTATGTCTCATAGATTTGTCGTGGCTCATATAAATTTATAGTAACACAAGGCATACCTGAAAGACATGTGCTTTTGTTTTTAGAAAAGTAGAAAGAGCTTCTATGCATCATCATGTAATTTCTAAAATTTGAGAAAATACACAAACAGTCCTATGCATCAGTAGATATCAATCTATATCTGTGCATTTCTCTGCTTTCTTTATTCATATATGTGTTTTCACATGAATGGGATCATATCCAATTTTGAGCTTCATTTTTAAGTTATTGCATGAGTCTCACTATTTACTGATGGTAGGGTTACAAATATTCTTTTTTTTAGGACTTTATTTTTTGTTTTTAAAGAGAGGGGAAGGGAGGGAGAGGGAGAGGAGGAGAGACAGGAATGTGTGCTTCGCTCCTAGGCCCTCTACTGGGGACCTGGCCATCACACAGGCCAGTGAACCAACAGCCTTTTGCTTTGCAGGCTGGCACCCAATCCACTGAACTACTCCAGCCAGGGATGCAGCTTGTGATTTTAATAAAATGACACCAACACACCAAGTCAGGGAAAATAGATCCTTTAAATGTCAGCAAAGTGTCCTATTGACCTATGCATTTCCTGTGCACCATGGTGAACCAATGAACGTCCCTTCAGTGAGGATCAGAGAATCCCTCTCAGCGACCAGGCTGTGTCGTCATCACTGCCGAATGCTCTCAGTGACTCTGGAACTCCCACCCTGCCATCCAAGGGGCCCAGAGGGAGTGGATTTACCCACGGTTGACATTAAAGTACCCAACATAAACCTGGTCAGGACAATGTGAGAATTAAGAACATATGAGTTCAAAAGCTGTTAAGTACATGAACTCACGGTCAGTGGCTAAAGGAGTCTTAGGAGGCTGGTGCTAAATAGTGAGAAGAAAACCAATAGGGTGAGGCAGGAGAAGGAGATAAATGAAATAGCAATTTTGGAAAGAGCTCATTGGTGTCTCATCCCATAGACGGGAATCGCTGAAGTGCATCTGATAAGTGTTGGAGGTCAAAATTATTGTGAGTGAGGAGGTCAGGAGACTGAGACACCAAACCCCTGTGGAAAGTGTCTGAGTCATGGTGATCTCTCCAGTGGTGACAGCTTTACTGGTGGGGAGAAGAAGTGAATGAGGACAGATCTGACGAAAGGGAAGTAGCAATAAGTTCAGCAACAAAGGGCGATGTTTTGAGACATGTGCGTGAGGAGTGGGTATTGAAGCCAGAGAAGGGACTGGTCTGAGAGGAGCAGGGAGGTCCCAGGAGGATAAAGAATGTGCTGAAATCAGATGCTAAATGTTCAGTTTTATGTTGTGACATAAACACAGTAGATATTTTATTGCATTTCTATCTTAAAGGACAAAGCACCTTAATGGTGTAATTAAGAAAGTGATACATGGAATTTGTCTAAATGAAGGAACCCTAGAAAATGTGAGTGTGTCGTTGGGGAGAAATCTGTTAGCATCGTGGAAGGACAGGAGAATGGAGGACTGGGAAGCTATTAGCAGAGGCTCCTACTATTCAGACGGGCTGGGCAGTGCAGGAAGGCAGCAACGGGCACAGTGT